CACAGCCAGACCAGACACACACCCACCACGACACAATGAAATGCCAGCAGGAGGCACACAAAAGCAGGCCATCGTCCGCAGCAAAGGAAGCTACACCCACCACCGCACACAGATGGGGCCTCCACATGCACACAGGACACCTCCGTCATGGCTGCTCACCACTGCAACCATTAGCCCAGACTTCTCCTCATCAGCCAGGGAGGGGCAGCTGCTCTCTGGGGGCAGATTGATGTAACCAACTAATTAGCCCCAATTAATATTAATACACATACTCAGCAACTGCAGCAGCTCAGACAGAGAAGCTGCCCGTTGGGGCCATCAATCATGCTTCAGGGGACGGCAGAGGACACTCAGGAACTCCAGAGCATGGGAACAGCACCTCAGGCACTATCCCCAGCTCCCACCCCTGGGCTCCCAGACGGAGTCCACCATCATCAACCAAAGCTGGGGACCCGAAGAGACCATGAGCCCATCCCTCCTGGCAGCTGGGGAGCCCAAGGCCAGAGCTGGGTTGTTACATCCTCCAAGCCACACAGCAAATCCCAGGCTCAGTCTATGTTTGTCTCCATGTCCCTCCTTCCCACCCTTCTCTCTGCCACCTGGGGCAGGCTTTGCTAATACACCTATGGCTCAGCCACTTCACCTGCCAGTCCCAGCCTGGACAGCCACAGAGGCTATCCCAGTGCAATACCCCCACTCTGAGCTGCCAAAGCTGCCTTTTAAGACATGGAGCTTCCTGGGAGACCCCGTCCTCAGCCCCCTGTGCTCTGCACTTCTCAGGGCTCAGCAAGCGTTTTCAGAGCTGGACGGGATTGGGGGGGGGGGGGAGGGGACATTTAGACTAGGGTTCCTGTCTCAGTGGGATTTTGGAGTGCTAAGGGGCTGAGAGAGATCTGGCCTCCCTCCTCCAATTTCTTCCATCAGTTCATTTTATTTCAACAAATATCCCAAGTGAGCACTCCTCATGTTACTGAGCCATGTGCCAAGAGCTGGGAGAACAGAGGAAGAACACACTGCCCCTAACCTCCAGGGTCTCAAAGGCGAGATGGAGGAAAGCTGACAACTACACACAGAGCTGGCATGGGGAGAGCCAGGGACGGGGAAGTGCCCACCTGCCCCCTGTGTCTGCAGGGGCTGGGGCCATGGTCAGGAGGGGCATCCTGAGGTATAGTCCTCCTGTTGGGATTGAGGGCCAAGGCCCCCTGGAGCTGGGGACCTCAGGGACCCATGTCAAGTCACCTGCTGCCGGAGCCGCCGGGCCAGGGCCTCCATCTTCTGCAGCGCTACCTCCCTCCGCTTCTGGGCCCTGGGGATATTGTTCCGGGCTGGAGCATGCTGCCAGGTGAGCAGGGCAGCCCCCAGCAGGGTCAGCAGGAGTAGCATCGTCAAGGAGTCAGACAGCCAAACCACCCTAGGTATTGCATGACCTATGTGGATGCAGCTGCTCTTTCCTCAGGAACACATCCCATTTATCTGTCAGCAATGCTGCCAGGGCACCCACTCACATCTGGAGACCTGGGCATGGCAGTGAGCAACCTTCTTCCTATATCTTACCCCATCTGGACTTCCTAGGAACAAAACCCCTATTTATCAGCCACACAGAGGAAGAAGCTTTGGCAGACGAGCCTAAAGAGGGGCCCGAGCCTCCAGCTGGGCAGCTGACCTCACCTCTGTCACATCCTACTCTCACCCATCCTACCTGTCAGATCCCACCCCTCAGGCACCCCACTCCAACCCTCAGGAGTTACGGATGGGGTCGCTCCTGGGGTTCCCGTTGCCTTCAAGATTCTCCCGAAGCCCCTTTGTTCCACATAAACAGACACATGGAGGTGGACCAAACAGAGTATGTTTGCCCAGAGTGGAGGTTCTGGGAGACAGGCAGAGAAGAAAGGACCACCCGGAGGAGTGGGCAGGGCTCATCAGCAGTCCACCTCAGGCGAGATGATGCCAGGGCGTGAGACCGGACAGCCCGGCTGGGCTTCCCCTCTTGACTCCAAAGCAAGGCCAGGACTCATCCAGGGTTCCAGCCTCCCCAAGCTATTGGCTCGCCCTGCTGGTGGAGGGGAGTTGTAGGGCTGAGGGAGGCGGCTTCCTGGAGGAGGAACAGAGAAGACATGAGGAGACTGGAAAGTAGAGCCGAGGGGCCCTAATGTGGGATCCATTCTGCTCTCCTCAGGAGCCTCCGTCCAGTCTCCACCTCAATGGCCACTGAGGCTTCGAGTCACTGTACCCAGGAGAATGGTGCCTCTCCCTCCAGACCAGGAAGGCAGGGCAGCAGCAGGTCAGGGTGGAGAGGAACCAAGTTTGTGGTTGTTAATGTTGAGTCTGAGTACCCAAGGGGCCAAAGGAACAGATTCGAGGTCAACCATTGACTAACGGATGACCCTGAAGTTGCCCACCCTGTAACACTCTGTCATCTCCATGGGGCCTCCAGACCAGTCCTCCTCTGCCCTCTGCCTCTTTTCTGACCATTTTCTTCCATACCCTCCACTCCACCTTCATGAACTCCAGCTCTCTCACCTATCCTCAGCTCCCCCAGGCCACTCATCATCCACATCACACCCCATGGTCCTCTAGGCCTTGTGACCTCACCTTGTCCTGGGTTATGCCCTTCCATTACCACATACCTCATTTTATGTCTTCAATACACCATCATTAGCTGAAATTATCTTGCTGATCAGTTATCTCCTGCCTCAGTCTCTAGAAAATGAGTTCCATAAAAAAGCACAGACCAGGCCAGGCATCGTGACTCACGCCTGTAATCCCAGCACTTTGGGAGGCCAAGGAGGCCATTTGAGCTCAGGAGTTTAAGCCTAACCTGGACAACATGGCAAGACCCCATCTCTACAGAAAATGCAAAAAAAAGAAAAAAAATTAGCCGGGAGGCAGAGGGGAACATAGGCCTTGTCAGCCCTTTTCAAAACGCCTGGCACATGGTGCGTGCTCAATGATCTCTCTTCAGTGAAGAAATGATGGCAGTTGAGTCCTCCATTCCTACCTTGACTTGCCCCCTCTGTGTGTTGCTGCTGGCCCTTTCCTACCAGCACTTAACATGCTTAAGTCTCTCCTACCTTGGGGGATGAGGGAGAATTCCCTCAGATCTACACCTTCCCTAACTACCACCCTGTCTTTTGTCCCCCTCCTGAGCTTTTCCATTTCTCTACACAGGCTGCCTTTACTTCTCCACCTTTCACTCACTCTTCCACCCAACAAAGTCTGGCTCGTGCCTATCTCATCCCAGTGATCTCCTTGAAGGTAAGTCAGCACGACTTAAAGTTGTCAACTTCACCCTTCTCAAAACACACTCATTCCTTGGCTCGGGTGCTAATGCAGTTTTCAGCTTCAATGTTGCTTCCTCCAGGAAGCATTCCCTGACACACATGCACACACATCTCAGGCCAGATCAGGTCCCATGTGGTTTATTCTCATAATACCCAGGCTACTGTTTTATTGCACTTCTAAGGAATGTTTCTGGGTAATTATACATTTGATGTCTGTTTTCTGGAAAAATGGAAGCTCTATTCAGGCCGGGACTATTTCTGATTGGTTATACTATGGGGAGAATTCAACATTTTTATTGAATGGATGGGAGGATGAAGGGAGGGAGCAACCCTCCATTGTTCTTCAGAGAGCAACTCTCTCTGAATTTCAATTTCCTTATGTATAAAATGGAAATAATAATGCCCATTTTCCAAATGAGATAATGGGTTCAACTCTACAGCCTGGCAGATGTTGGATTTTATTAAGACATAGTCCTTGCTTTCTACCAGGTGCAGAAGCACAAAGAAGCTCTTTGAACACAGCCTGAGAGAGCTGGAGGAGTTAAGAGGATGGGAGAAGTGGCTAGATAAGGACCTGCAGACCAGGAGAAAGCTATAGGTTGAATGTAGACTGGGAGTTTTTTGTCCTCATGGGCACTACTCAAGATCATGGCAGTAGATAAGATAAATGTGAAAGGACTGACTCGAAAATTCCCTTTTGCAGGTGAGAGGAAGAAGTAATCCGAATGGACCAAAATCGGTTCCCTAATAACAAGTCACCCATTGCTCCATCCAACAAGCCTTCTCTGGGTACCCACTGAGTACCAGGCACTGTGCTGGGAGCTGAGCATATACAGCCCTGACCCCAAGTGGCTTCATCTTCCTGAGGTGCCCAGGGTCACTACCCCAAATCTATATGTAGGAAAGTTGGGAGGGCCCAGCCAAGCCCAGCCAGAGAAATGTGAAGTAAAGATAGATCTGACTGGGAAGCTCATGACTTGGTTATGTGTTTGTCTCTTAGGGGTGCAGGTCATGCCCTTTCCTTGGTCCTCCTCTGATCAATAGGTTTATGGGTGACTTGGATGAAGTGGCAGAGGTCCAGTGCTCAGACTTGTGGATGCATAAGAACAAGTTGGGAAGAAGAACAGAAATAGCCAGAGCCCTTGAAATAATCCTAAAAATGGGCCGAGAGTGGTGGCTCACGCCTGTAATCTCAGCACTTTGGGAGGCCAAGGCGGGCGGATCACCTGAGGTCAGGAGTTCAAGACCAGCCTAGCCAACGTGGTGAAACCCTGTCTTTGAAAAATAAAAAAATAAATCCTAAAAATGGCACCTAACAGGACCAAATGGCACGTGCTCTGGCTGTGTCCTGAAACTCCAATATCACAGCCACAGGGAGAGAAAAGGGAGGGTGGACAGGGACATGACAGACATCTCCTGTAAACAGATACTAGCAGAGGTGCACAGTACACGGGGTTGCTTCTGTCTTCAAAGTGTTGTGGTCACCTAGCACAGAGGCTGGTGCCCAGGGAATGCTGAATGCATGTTCTTGTGATGATTGTACAAGTGAGGAAGGTACAGTAAATTTGGAGTTGAGCATGTGGGTTTCAAGTCTTCTCGTAACCCATAACGATCGGCCTTCAACAAATCAGCAACCCCCTCTGAACTTCAGTTTCTTTACGTATTGAATGGAATAATAGGGCCAGGCACACTGGCTCACACCTGTAATCTCAGCACTTTGGGAAGCCAAGGCGGGCAGATCACTTGAAGTCAGGAGTTCAAGACCAGCCTGGCCAACATACTGAAACCCTGTCTCTGCTACAAATACAAAACATAGCCAGGCATCATGGCACACACCTGTAGGCCCAGCTACTCAGGAGGCTGAGGCAGGGAGAATCACTTGAACCCAGGAAATGAAGGCTGAAGTGAGCTGAGATCGCACCATGCACTCTAGCCTGGGTGACAGAGTAAGACTCCATCTCAAAAAACACAGAAAAAAAAAAAAAAAAAAAAGGCCGGGTGCCATGGCTCACATCTATAATCCCAGCACTTTGGGAGGCCGAGGCAGGTGGATCACCTAGATCAGGAGTTTGAGACCAGCCTGACCAACATGATGCAACCCCATCTCTGCTAAACACACAAAAATTAGACAGGCGTGGTGGCAGCTGCCTGTAATCCCAGCTACTCGGGAGGCTGAGGCAGGAGAATCGCTTGAACCCAGGAGGTGGAGGTTGCAGTGAGCCAAGATCATGCCACTGTACTCCAGCCAGGGCAACAGAGAGAGACTTCATCTCAAAATATTTTTAAATTAAAAAAAAATTTTTTTTAATGGTAATAATAATAATGCCCATTTTCAAAATGAGATAATGGATATTCAGTTCCACAGCCTAATAGATGTTGGATTCTATTAAGACACAGACCTTGCTTTCCACCATGTGCAGAAGCACAAAGAAGCTCTACCAACTCAGCCTGACAGAGTCGGAGGGTAGGGCAATTGCCCTCACCACGGATGAGTAGGCAGTCTTTAGGTGGAAACCCCAGGAACAACACTCCAGGCACAGCAGTATCATGAGCAAAGGGCACAGATGTGGGAGATGACTCGGTGTTCTGGACATTACCTGCAGGCCATGTGACCAGGATGTGAGCATTTGGGAAGGGGACGAGGTGATGCCACAGGGGCCAGCTGCAGGGTCAGGTGAAGCATGGCCTTGCAGGTCATAACAAGGCATCTGGACTTGGCACAAGTGAGTCCAAGCATTTTAAGCATGATGAGCCGGGCGCGGTGGCTCAAGCCTGTAATCCCAGCACTTTGGGAGGCCGAGGCGGGTGGATCACGAGGTCAAGAGATCGAGACCATCCTGGTCAACATGGTGAAACCCCGTCTCTACTAAAAATACAAAAAATTAGCTGGGCATGGTGGTGCGTGCCTGTAATCCCAGCTACTCAGGAGGCTGAGGCAGGAGAATTGCCTGAACCCAGGAGGCGGAGGTTGCGGTGAGCCGAGATCGCGCCATTGCACTCCAGCCTGGGTAACATGAGTGAAACTCTGCCTCAAAAAAAAAACCACGTTGGTCAGGCTGGTCGCATGATGAGTTTGCAATAGGAAGGTTGCCTAACTGCCACGTGAAGGATTGTTGGGGATGACCAGTCTGGACCCTGAGGAAGCCAGGCAAGAAGCTGCAGCAGTGACCTAGTGAGAAGGGGAAAGGTGGTGAAAACAGGCAGTAGCCACATGACTCAGGTCATGAGGCCAGCACACAGGTGGTCAGGGAGGTGCGAGGAGGAGGCTGATTGTGCTCTCACTCTTTTGACCATTGTACTCGCTGGGCCTCGGCATCAACAGAAAGACCTCATGCAGGTGCTGACATAGACTGGCCTAAGTTTCGGTTCCAAGCCCGTGACTTCTAGCTATGGGACCCTGGGCAAGATATGTAAACTTTCTTTTTTTTCTTTCTTTTTTGAGATGGAGTTTCACTCTTGTTCCCCAGGCTGGAATGCAATGGCGCAATCTCGGCTCACCGCAACCTCTGCCTCCCAGGTTCAAGCAGTTCTCCTGCCTCAGTCTCCCGAGTAGCTGGGATTACAGGAATGTGCCACCATGCCTGGCTAACTTTGTATTTTTTTAGTAGACACGGGGTTCCTCCACGTTGGTCAGGCTGGTCTTGAACTCCTGACCTCAGGTGATCCACCTGTCTCAAACTTCCAAAATGCTGGAATTACAGGCGTGAACCACCACGCCCGGCAAGACATGTAACATTTCTGTAAAATAGGAGCAAAAATGCCTATCATAAGGTTAATAGAGGATTAAGTGACATGACTGTAAAGTGCCCAGAAGGTAGATGGCTCATAGTAAATACTTAGTAAATGTGGTCTAGAATTCCCCTTCCCCTTTTTTCCTCATCAAAAGTCATGTTATCACTCTATGCATTAAATATTTAGGGGTCTTCATCAGAACAACTCTCTGCCTCCCTTCTTCCCTTCATTCAACAAATCCCTCTAGAAGGTGAATTCTACAAGAACAGTTACCAAGGCTGCTTCATTTGTCACTGCAGACCCAGCACCCAGCACAGTGCCTGGTGCCTCACACTGGCACACTTTATCAACCCAGAATTAATAGAACACCATCCTCCAAGCCAAGAACAAGTGATGAACAAGACAAAGCACGGCTCTCTAGAAGCTTACGGTTTAGTGGAGACCAAAAAAAGACATAAAAGATTTCAGATAGTGATAATGCTATAAAGAACAGTAGCCTGTTAGAAAGGACAAGGAAAAGGCCAGGGGCGGTGGCTCCTGTAATCTCAGCACTTTGGGAGGCCGAAGTAGGCGTACCAGGAGATCAAGAGATACAGGCCATCCTGGCCTACATGGTGAAATCCTGTCTCTACTAAAAATACAAAAATTAGCTGGGCATGGCAGTGCATGCCTGTCATCCCAGCTACTCGGGAAGCTGAGGCAGGAGAATCGCTTAAACCCAGGAGGCAGAGGTTGCAATGAGCCAAGATCAAGCCACTGTACTCCAGCCTAGAGACAGAGCTAGACTCCCTCTCAAAAAAAAAAAGAAAAAAAGAAACAGGGGAAGCCATTTTATAAATGGGTGATCAGGGAAGGTGACATGGGAGCCGAATGTTCCCAGAGAGGGAAGAGCTAACATAAAAGCTCTGAAGCAGGGTCCAGTTTGAGATGATCAGGAAACCAAGGCTGGGCTCAGTGGCTCACACCTATAATCCCAGCACTTCGGGAGGCCAAGGCAGGCAGATCATGAGATCAGGTGTTCAAGATCAGCCTGGCCAACGTGGTGAAACCGCATCTCTACTAAAAATACAAAAAGTAGCCAGGCGTGGTGGCAGGTGCCTGTAATCCCAGCTACTCGGGAGACTGAGGCAGAATTGCTTGAACCTGGGAGGCGGAGGTTTCAGTGAGCCGAGACCATGCTACTGCACTCCAGCCTGGGTGACAGAGTGAGACTGTCTAAAAAAAAAAAAAAGAAGAAACCAAAAGGTGCTCACGTAGCTGCACAGTGAAGCAGAGGAAGAGAAGAGACAAACAAGATGAGGCTGGAGAGGTGGAAACAACACGTCACACAGGGCCTTGGAAGACACAAGGAAGAGACTGAATTTTATTCTCGGAGGAACAGGAAGCCATTGGAAGGTCTAAAGCAGAGAAATGACCCATTCTGATTTATACTTTTATTTTATTTTAATTTTTTTAGAATTTATTTATTTTTGAGACAGAGTCTCACTCTGTTACCCAGGCAAGAGAGCAGTGGCACAATCTCGGCTCACTGCAACCTCCACCTCCTGGGTTCAAGCGATTCTCCTGCCTCAGCCTCCCGAGTAGCTGGGATTACAGGCACCTGCCACTATGCCTGGCTAAATTTTGCATTTTTAGTAGAGACAGGGTTTCACCATGTTGGCCAAGCCGGTCTCGAACTCCTTACCTCAAGTGATCCGCCTACGTCAGTCTCCCAAAGTGTTGGGATTACAGGTGTGAGCCACCATGACTGGCCTATTTTATTTATTTATTTTATTTTATTTTATTTGCTGAGACACAGTCTCACTCCGTCACCCAGGCTGGAGTGCAGTGGTGTGATCTCAGCTCACTGCAACCTTCGCCTCCCAGGTTCAAGACATTCTTCTGCCCTAGCCTCCTGAGTAGCTGGGACTAGAGGTATGCACCACCACGCGCAGCTAATTTTTTTGTATTTTTAGTGGAGATGGGGTTTTGCCATGTTGGCCAGACTGGTCTCAAACTCCTGACCTCAGGTGATCCACCTGCCTCGGCCTCCCAAAGTGCTGAGACTACCGGTGTGAGCCACCTTGCTTGGCCTGATATATACTTTTTTTTTTTTTTTTTTTTTACTTTTTTGAAAGAAAACTTTATTTATTTATTTAATTTTTTATTTTTTTATTTTTTTTAATTTCATTTTAGGTTTTGGGGTACATGTGAAGAACATGCAAGATTGTTGCATAGGTACACACATGGCACTGTGATTTGCTGCCTTCCTCCCCTTCACCTATATCTGGCATTTCTCCCCATGCTATCTCTCCCCAGCTCCCCAACCCGCACTGTCCCTCCCTTATTTCCCCTCAAGAGACCCCAGTGTGTAGTGCTCCCCTCCCTGTGTCCATGTGTTCTCATTGTTCGGCACCAGCCTATGAGTGAGAACATGTGGTGTTTGATTTTCTGCTCTTGTGTCAGTTTGCTGAGAATGATGGTTTCCAGGTTCATCCATGTCCCTACAAAGGACACAAACTCATCGTTTTTGATGGCTGCATAATATTCCATGGTGTATATGTGCCACATTTTCCCTGTCCAATCTATCATCGATGGGCATTTGGGTTGGTTCCAGGTCTTTGCTATTGTAAACAGTGCTGCAATGAACATTTGTGTGCATGTGTCCTTATAGTAGAATGATTTATAATCCTTTGGATATATACCCAGTAATGGGATTGCTGGGTCAAATGGAATTTCTATTTCTAGGTCCTTAAGGAATCACCACACTGTCTTCCACAATGGTTGAACTAATTTACACTCCCACCAACAGTGTAAACGTGTTCCTATTTCTCCACATCCTCTCCAGCATCTGCTGTCTCTAGATTTTTTAATGATCGTCATTTGAACTGGTGTGATGGTATCTCAATGTAGTTTTGAATTGCATTTCTCTAATGACCAGTGATGATGAGCATTTTTTCATATGTTTGTTGCCCTCATGTATGTCTTCTTTTGTAAAGTGTCTATTCATATCCTTTGCCCACTTTTGAATGGGCTTGCTTGTTTTTTCTTGTAAATCTGTTTTAGTTCTTTGTAAATTCTGGATATCAGCCCTTTGTCAGACGGGTAGACCGCAAAAATTTTTTACCATTCTGTTGGTTGCCTATTCACTCTAATGACTGTTTCTTTTGCTGTGCAGAAGCTGTGGAGTTTGATTAGGTACCATTTGTCTATTTTGGCTTTTGTTGCCAATGCTTTTGGTGTTTTGGTCATGAAGTCCTTGCCTATGCCTATGTCCTGGATGGTTTTGCCTAGATTTTCTTCTAGGGTTTTTATGGTGTTAGGTCTTATGTTTAAGTCTTTAATCCATCTGGAGTTAATTTTAGTGTAAGGTGTTAGGAAGGAATCCAGTTTCTGCTTTCTGCACATGGTTAGCCAGTTTTCCCAACACCATTTATTAAACAGGGAATCCTTTCCCCATTGCTTGTTTTTGTCAGTTTTGTCAAAGGTCAGATGGTTGTAGATATGTTGTGTTGCCTCCGAGGCCTCTGTTCACTATTCCATTGGTCTATATCTTTGTTTTGGTACCAGTACCATGCTGTTTTGATTACTGTAGCCTTGTAGTATAGTTTGAAGTCTGGTAGTGTGATGCCTCCTGCTTTGTTCTTGTTGCTTAGAACTGACTTGGCTATGCTGGCTCTCTTTTGGTTCCATATGAAGTTTAAGGTGTTTTTTTCCAGTTCTTTGAAGAAGGTCATTGGTAGCTTGATGGGGATAGCGTTGAATCTGTAAATTGCTTTGGGCAGTATGGCCATTTTCACAATATTGATTGTTCCTAACCATGAACATGGAATGTTTCTCCATCTGTTTGTGTCCTCTCTTATTTCGTTGAGCAGCGGCTTGTAGTTCTCCTTGAAGAGGTCCTTTACGTTCCTTGTTAGTTGTATTCCTAGGTATTTTATTCTCTTTGTAGTAATTGTGAATGGCAGTTCATTCTTGATTTGGCTCTCTTTAAGTCTGTTATTGGTGTATAGGAATGCTTGTGATTTTTGCACACTGACTTTGTATCCTGAGACTTTGCTGAGGTTGCTTATAAGTTTCAGGAGATTCTGGGCTAGACAATGGGGTCTTCTAGATATACAATCATGTCGTCTGCAAATAGAGACAATTTGACTTCCTCCTTTCCTATTTGAATACCCTTTATTTCTTTTTCTTGCCTGATTGCTCTGGCTAGAACTTCCAGTACTATATTGAATAGGAGTGGTGAGAGAGGGCATCCTTGTCTAGTGAGCGATTTCAAAGGGAATGCTTCCAGTTTTTGCCCGTTCAGTATGATATTGGCTGTTGGTTTGTCGTAAATAGCTTTTATTATTTTGAGATACGTTCTGTCAATACCTAGTTTATTGAGGGTTTTTAGAATAAAGGGCTGTTGAATTTTCTCAAAGGCCTCCTCTGCATCAATTGAGATAATCATGTGGTTTTTGTTTTTGGTTCTGTTTATGTGGTGAATTATGTTTATAGACTTGCGTATGTTGAACCAGGCTTGCATCCCCGGGATGAAGCCTGCTTGATCATGGTGGATAAGCTTCTTGATGTGCTGTTGCAATCGGCTTGCCAGTATTTTATTGAAGATTTTTACATATATGTTCATCATGAATATTGGCCTGAAGTTTTCTTTTCTTGTTGAGTCTCTGCCAGGTTTTGGTATCAGGACGATGTTGGTCTCATAAAATGATTTGGGAAGGATTCCCTCTTTTTGGATTATTTGGAATAGTTTCAGAAGGAATGGTACCAGCTCCTCTTTGTATGTCTGGTAGAATTCAGCTGTGAACCCATCTGGACCTGGGCTTTTCTTGGGTGGTAAGCTCTTAATTGCTGCCTCAACTTCAGACCTTGTTATTGATCTATTCAGGGTTTTGACTTCTTCCTGGTTCAGGCTTGGGAGGAGGCAAGTGTCCAGGAATTTATCCATTTCTTCCAGGTTTACTAGTTTATGTGCATAGAGTTGTTTGTAATAATCTCTGATGATGGTTTGAATTTCTGTGGAATCTGTGGTGATATCCCCTTTATCGTTTTTTATTGCATCTATTTGGTTATTCTCTCTTTTCTTTTTTATTAGTCTGGCTAATTGTCTGTCTATTTTGTTGATCTTTTTGAAAAACCAGTTCCTGGATTTATTGATTTTTTGAAGGGTTTTTTGTGTCTCTATCTCCTTCAGTTCTGCTCTGATCTTAGTTATTTCTTGTCTTTTGCTAGGTTTTGAGTTTTTTTTATCTTGCTCCTCTAGCTCTTTCAATTTTGCTGATAGGGTGTCAATTTTTGATCTCTCCTTGCTTCTCGTGTGGGGACTTACTGCTATATATTTTCCTCTAGAGACTGCTTTAAATGTGTCCCAGAGATTCTGGTATGTTATGTCTTCATTCTCGTTGGTTTCGAAGAACATCTTTATTTCTGCCTTCATTTCATTGTTTATCCAGTCAACATTCAAGAGCCAGTTATTCAGTTTCCATGAAGCTGTGCGGTTCTGAGTTAGTTTCTGAATTCTGAGTTCTAACTTGATTGCACTGTGGTCTGAGAGACTGTTATGATTTCCATTCTTTTGCATGTGCTGAGGAGTGATTTGCTTCCAATTACGTGGTCAATTTTAGAGTAGGTGTGATGTGGTGCTGAGAAGAATGTATATTCTGTGGATTTGGGGTGGAGAGTTCTATAAATGTCTATTAGGTTTCCTTGTTCCAGGTCTGAGTTCAAGTCCTGGATATCCTTGTTAATTTTCTGTCTTGTTGATCTGTCTAATATTGACAATGGGGTGTTAAAGTCTCCCACTATTATTGTGTGGGAGTCTAAGTCTCTTTGTAAATCATTAAGAACTTGCCTTATGGCCGGGCGCGGTGGCTCAAGCCTGTAATCCCAGCACTTTGGGAGGCCGAGGCGGGTGGATCACGAGGTCAAGGGATCGAGACCATCCTGGTCAACATGGTGAAACCCCGTCGCTACTAAAAATACAAAAAATTAGCTGGGCATTGTGGCGCGTGCCTGTAATCCCAGCTACTCAGGAGGCTGAGGCAGGAGAATTGCCTGAACCTAGGAGGTGGAGGTTGCGGTGAGCCGAGATCACGCCATTGCACTCCAGCCTGGGTAACAAGAG